GCAATGAATCTCTTATTTACACCCTGTCTATACTTTGCTTATGAAAGGATTCGTGAGATATGTCTGTGATACATTACTCGACGCTGCAAAAACACGTAGAAACCTTTGAAGCTCCCTCAGCGCAATCACAAGTATGATGATGATCTGGTCAGTCGCACTGGTGCTCCTAAAAAAAATTTGCACTGTCGAGCCCTGCTTCTGAACAAAAGAGCCAACTGCTTATTGGTAAAGTAATTGCGTCGCTGCAGCTGCCGTTAGAAGTTTCACTTGCTATAGAAACCGCGTTCTGAGACGCGCGCTTAGGACTGCGCATTTGAACAAAAGAATGCTATTTGAGCAAAATAAACATTTAGGAGAATTTGATGTTTCCCCATTCAAAGAGATAGGAGCTGCACTTGCATGCCCAAGAGGGGTTTCAACGATGGCCACCGACTGAAATGACTTGCCATAAAGGGACTTTGGCTTTCAGGCGCGCACATAAATGGTCAAATATACACAAAAAAATGTGTCTTGGCGAGGATTTACGTAAAGACAGTCAGTTATGTCTTAAATGAACACAAACAATTGGGAAAGTAATTGTATGTGTGTCAGTATATTAGATCCATGCACTCGGTCTTAAAGAGGCAGCAGCCTAATAAACCTACTGCTGTCTGTGTCATTAATGTTAATCAAACAACAAAAGAGAGAAAATCACTCACTGCTCTTGACTGAATCACTTTATAACTTTAATAAGAATCAATGTATATTTAATTCATACAGCGATGCAGTGTTTTAAAGATTAATTTTTGTTTTAAAGTTTTTAAAGACACTTTTTTGTGTTCAACATAAGAAAGCAACTCATACAGGTTTGGAACGACATGAGGGTGAGTAAATGATGACAGAATTTGCATTTTTGGGTGAACTATCCCTTTAAGTTCGGCCATCCTACACACACACGTCACTGACCGCTCGCTCACCAACACGAGGAGGAGGGTCTCTCTACACTGCACTCAACCTGAGGGATTCCTACACTTTCAGTCTTTTTTGAGGAGACATTAAAAACAGCACATACCGCAGGAATGGTATAACAGAAATTATTAGTGGTTTTGAAACAGTGAAATTTTCAAATCGCAGTATAGCTTGAAACCGGTAATCGGCCCATGCCTAGTATGAATACCTGGCATTAATTGTAAACCCGGTGTAAATTATGAGCAGTGTGAAACGTGAAACAAGATAACCCAGGATTACCTAGGGTTTAAAATGACCAAGGGTTAACTAAGTCCTAACTTCTGTGAGTGAGTTGCACCAAAGCTTCGAGAGATATGAAATATTGCAAAATTTTTGCTTGACAGTATCCTTCCCCATTCACTTTCATTGTGTGGAAAAAGAGCAACATGAACACTCTGCAAAACATCATTTTTTACATGGGAAAAAAGACAATCAAACAGATCTGAATCAAAAGGCAAGTAAAAGTGTTCATTTTGGGGTAAACTACCCCTATAAGGTGACATTGGAAACAAATTTGGCTGCATGTGCCAACGTCCTTTAACAAAAGTTGTGCATGGCAGCACATCTGGAACCGATTAGAGGGGCATTTACTCTAGTTGTTAGATGTGGCTTTAAAAATACAACTTGCGGCATGTGGCATTTGTTTGTATGACTCACACACACAGGTCTCTCTGACACACACCTTCGCAAACAGCGTAAATGCATGTCAGCCTCAGTGGTACACAAGAAGAAAACTTTTGACTCGTGGGCCAAGTCAACAAATGAATGACAAATACTGGATAACCTGCCACCACAGACCCATGAAAACAATGGCTTCCGTCTGAGCAGAAAGAGGCCATGGGAAGGAGGGGTTGAAGCTCTCATAAGCCTTGCTGGAAACTCGCAGTCATTAATCTGATTAATGTATACAAGACTGCAGAGCGTCTACAATATTTCAACTCCAAAAATGCCCATTAATCCAGGCATACTTTTTCCAACAAGGGCATTCTTTCCAACAGGATCTGACTTCTTTGCAACTGGCAAACAACATTGTTAGGGGAAACTAAATGCCAGAGAGACAATACAAACAGAAAGGCCAGATTATTCTCATGAGGGAAATCATGCAATACAAATGACCACTAAAAGAAATGCACAAAAATTCACACATTGCATATATATATATGGAAATACAGAGTAACATTTGCAAAACCAGAGAGAAACAAGCTTAAAATTAGGAACTTACCACAAGCAAAGGAGAATGTTAGAAATTAGAGGTGCTTTGCCCAAGAAAACGGCCTCTTTGGTGGCCCTGTGAGAGGAAGATGATGTTAGGTTTTTGTCAGGTTTTAGTAAGCCAGAGAAGATGTACTGTAAGCAACAGAAAGAGTCTCCTGGTCCTCTTACGTCACTTTATAACTTTAATAAGAATCAATGTATATTTAATTCATACAGCGATGCAGTGTTTTAAAGATTAATTTTTGTTTTAAAGTTTTTAAAGACACTTTTGACAACTGATTGTTTTTTTTTTTGTTTTTTTTAAATTGTGCAAATAGATTCATAGTAGTCATAGGCTTGTTCCAGTCTGGATATTCTCAATAGTATATCTCAAAAATGGGAAGATCGCGATTCAGATCGTGGATCATGATTGTGTTTTATAAAATAATTATATGATATTTTGGGAAGATCGCCTACCCCTACCATGCACTGATCTACATTTTTAATGCTTGATTCCAATTGCCGATTTTTTACAAGCAAACGACACTTTGAAAAATGATTACAATTCAGTTTGTGTGCAAGTCCACAACAGAGATTGGCTGAAATACAACTGCATCTCTAGTAAAGAGGTTGCATGCTGCATTCATCAAATCAATTACTTGACACTGCAAATACGCAAATAAGAACATTAACCCGGGGTTTAGGAATGTACAGTGTGAAAAATCAGCATATGAATTAGGCATGGGTCGGTATGACATTTTGACGGCATGATAACCTTAAGGAAAAAATATCACGGTTTCACGGTATTGTCGTTACAGCTCTAAAATGTATGTTAGGTTTTTGTCAGGTTTTAGTAAGCCAGAGAAGATGTACTGTAAGCAACAGAAAGAGTCTCCTGGTCCTCTTACGTTGGCAGTACGGTAAAGAAAGCAGCAGGTTAATATAAACCCAGGCACTCAAAGGTGGCACATTCTGAGATGGAGAGTGAAATGCCACACATAGAAGACCTGTAGAAGCAATCATGAGGACACTGGGAACACCTCAACTATATGCTACTGGCCCCAAACCTGACCTAGCGTAAGTCAACACCTCGCTCAAGGAATGTCCCGGGTTCAATAGATGTTAAGCTCTATGGTCAGCACGTGTAGTATGATTACAACATAAAATATTTCATCTAAAAAAAATAAATAAATAGTAATGCACTTACAATAAACAAGTTGAACAACACGTCATAACCAAAAAGAGACTGTTTATGCAGAGGAAAATCCACCCACAAATAACCAGATGTTCATACATCTAGAATAGCAATCCCACCACTCTGGAGGTCAATTTTGGAGGTCAAACTTCATAGCTTAAATAACACATTTTTTGTACTGAAGGATTAATACAACTGCTTCACCAACAATACTGAAAGCTAATTAAATATTTTTGATGGTGAACATCAACGTCACAAATGCAATCCATAAAACATTCTATTTAGACACTGAGAAATAAGTATAAAAAAAATAAAAATCTAACACATTTAGATTAGAAACATTGACATTTATATTGTCAACGTCTACATTGAAACAATGGGTTGATTAATTTCTTGTGACTGTAAAACTGAATTTTCAGCATCATTACTCCAGTCTTCAGTTTCACACGATGCTTCAGAAATCATTCTAACATGCTGATGCTCTATTATTGGTACTAAATTATAATAATGGTTCTTATTGTGATTGTTGAAAACAGTTTTTGCTGCTTAATTTTCTTTCTTTCTTTTCTTTCTTTCTTTTTTTTTTTAATCACACTTACCCCAAACTTTTTAATGGCAGTTTCCATAAAATTATTAAGCAACACAACTGTTTTTAAAAACTGATAATAATAAGGAATGTTTCTTGAGCATCAGTCAGCATATTAGAATGATGATCTATGTGATGCTGAAGAGTAGTATATTTAACTACACTAGAGGTCGACCGATAGTGGATTTTGCCGATACCGATAGCTAGGTTGGACCACACTGGCCGATACCGATTAATTAACCGATAGTTTTTAAAATGGATGCTGAACAAAAACTAAAATAATGCTTTATTAAATAAACAGTACTGAACCATACTAGTAGTAGTAGTAATAATAATAAT